AACAGCTTCATTCAGAGCATGGTGGAGCCAAGTCAGTTCAATCAAACAATCTGAGGTGGTAAAAGATAGAATCCAATTGTCCACCTACTTGTTGTGGTGGCTTTGAAAATCTAAGAATCTTTGGGTCTTCAATAAATCTCTCATGCCTGATCACATAGTGGTGGTTGCAGCTCAAAGAGATTGGTTGGAGTTTTCCTCTGCTGCAGGCCTCACTTTTGGTTGGGTTGGTTAGCTGCATTTGTAGTTGATTTTCTTTTCTTTTCTCTTGGCTCGTGTTTGTCTTGTTTTGGTGATTATGTTTTCTAGCTAGGCCTTGGGCAGTGGAGAGAAGCATAGACTCTTCCATTTTCTTTGGTTTTAGCTTTAAGGTTCTAGATACTAGCTATAGTAACTCTTATTTTTCTGTTTGTCGGGTTGTGATCTCTTCGTTTGCTTTGGTTAGTTTTATATATATCATCTCTATCATTCTGACAAAAAAAAATAACATTATAAATTAGGCTAGGAAAAGAGAGTGCAATAATATTATGTTAGTGACTCATAATATTATTTAATTAGAGTAGTGGGTTTGGCTCACAGTTAGTCTAACTAATTAAGGAGCCATATTCTTAATCTCCTAAGGGTCCCTACTGTAGCTCTATATATACATCATTAAGCTTATGAGAAGAGATGAGTTGGACATATTATTCTACACGCCCCGCGCGTCTCTCTCTCATCTCTCTCTTTCTCTCTCAGTTCTCATTCGAGTTTTACCTTCTTCTTGTTGTTCTTCTGGTACAAGTTGAAGAGGTGTCTTGAGATATACAGTAGAAGATCTCGTGGTAATTGAGATACACATATTTATCAACTCCGCAGATCAACCGAGCCGACGATCCACGACTGGAAGTCCGAGGACCGCCAACCCCAGCCACCGCGACCAAGTCGGACGATGAAGTGAGCCGCACGCGCCACCCAGAGCAGCCGCGACGCACCCTGGGATGCCCGACGCACCGTCTATGAGCCCACACGGCCCTATTCCATGACACGAGTCGATCCTGCCATCTGTTCATGATCCCATCATGTTCATGTGCTTATTCCTGTCAATCCGTTCAAGATCAGCCAAATCGCCATAAATTTTAAGCCGTAGATTTTCTACGTCAAACCTTTAGATACACTTCGCATAGGTTTACGTTTGCTATTGAGTTCATGATTTGTATATAACGAGGTCCTCACAGATCCCAACAAGGGCCACCATCGTAGCATACATTACTCTCGGTGTTTTGAGATGCCGGTGAATTTAAGTTAATATTGTTTTGAGGATGTCAATGTCAACAGTTAAATTCGTAGTGTTTAATCAATAAAATATTTTTTTGTGATTTTCAGGCTTTATTCAACATGTCGTTCAATCCGTTATCTGTTATTATAAAAGAATATCAACTTACTAGCCTAAACTATATTGATTGGAAGAGAAACTCAGATATTGCGTTGACTGTCAAAGGGTACAAGTATGTACTCACTAAGGCTTGTCCGGTGAGCCCGAACTGAATGCCACTGATTAGGAGGGAGAAGAGTATGCTAGGTGGACGAAGGCTGATGATTTGGTGAAGTGTTACATTCTGTCTTATATGTCAAATGTTCTTCAACATCAGCATCAATCTATGAACACTATGGTAGAAATACTCCTCAATCTCAAGGATCTGTTTGGACATTAGTCTAGGGCTACCATGCAGGAAGCCATGAGGACTCTGATGAACATGCGTATGACAGAGGGCACACCAGTAAGGTAGAACGGCCTAAGGGTCATGGCACAACTCAATGAGCTGAAAGTTCTAGGAGCTTTTATTGATGAGGAAACCCAGGTTGATATTACGCTTCAGTCTCTGCCGAATAGCTTTGACCAGTTTCGTTTGAACTACAACATGCATAAGATGTTGATGTCTCTTCCGAAACTCTTACCAGTGCTTCAGTTGGCAGAAGGCATGTTTCGTCAGAAACCTCAAGTGCTAGTCATCGAGCAAGCAGGACCTTCCTCTGGGCATAGCAAGGGGAAGATGAAGAAGTCTGCAGGAAAGGCGAAGGCGCAAGTGGCGGCAGTCCCGCGACCGGCTCCTCATGCAGTGACAAAGAAACCGAAAGGGAAGTGCAACAAGTCTAGAAACTGGAAGATCGACTGTCTTCTCTTTAAGAAGGGCAAAAAAGGTAATTCTCATGCTTTTGCCATAGAAATATGCTTAGCGGTTGTATCAACCAGTACCTGTTGTGTAGATACTGGAGCCACTAATCATGTCTGCAATTCCTTGCAGGGGCTCTAGGAAACCAGACGACTTAAGGAGGGAGAGATTACCGTCTACATGGGTAATTCTACGAAAGTGGCGGCTTTTGCAGTGGGAGACGTTACTTTATTATTTAGTAGTATTAGTTTGGTTTTGACACATTGCCTTTGTGTTCTGAGTTTTAGAGAGAATCTTATTTCACTCAGTTAATATATTTATTATTTAGTATTATAATATATTTTTTAACAAGCGCACCCGTGTATTACAAGGGTGTTGTACTAGTACATGTCGTAAATTCGTTTGATATGTTGTCTTATAGTTTTACTCATACAATTCTTGTTGAATCACGCAGACATGAAGGATGATACTTCTCTAAAAACACACCTCACTACAAACGGATCCTCGATGTCGTT